TTACTCTGAGTAGAATTTAGGAAAAGTAAAGATACTTTTACTCTATTACAATTTTTTAGTACTCTTTCCACCTCTGGTTTTGCCTTTGATCTATGAAGACCATAATAAACCATGTAACGTTCCTGTCTTTGTTTCCAGGGTCATTGAGGTATTTTGTGGATGTGGTGTCAGCCAGAACGGCCGTGGGCCACGATAAAGAGGGAAGACTCATCCTGTTTCACATCGATGGCCAAACAGATAGGAGAGGGTGAGAAAATAAATGAGCAGAAACATGTTTAAAATTGATCCGTGTTCTTCTCTGAACATGTGCTTATTGTGAGATATTGATTGAATAGAGAGTTCACTTATTCCCCCACTACAAGCCTGCAAACTGCAGAAAAACATTTACGCAAAAATGGAACTTGTCCTATTATGTATATGGAAGTTATGCTAGAAGTTTTAAAAGTGCAGTTTAGTTTTTTGTCTTTTCTTTTCGGTTTTTGATTGAGGAAAAAAAAAAAAAATCAGAGCAAAAAAAAAAGAAAGAAAACTAAATATCTTCCATATCTATTAAATATTATGGATAAATGTAATATAGAACTGATTCATATACTGTTAGTGGAATTATAATCTAAACACTTTCTCCTGATAAAACTTCTTTTTATCTTCTAAATCTGAATGCATTCCTTGTTCATCTATCATTACATTTATTGGGTTATTAAAGGTCCTCTTCCTACTATCCCCATTAAAAAAAACAAAAAAAAGCAACATATGTTCATGTTAAATTAAAGCATCTGTCAGCTGACAGCACCACAGAACCATCAGGATCACAGATGGTGACTTAATACATCCTGACCCTCAGCACCTTGTGGTAAAACGATGCGCACTGTATCCTTAAAGACCAACCGATTTTAATGGAAAGAACCGATTTATAGCAACTCAAAGTTTTACTCTATCCTTCCCAGAGCCTTTTATCAGAACATCAAAGAAAATTAATAAATAAAGCCCTAACAAATATAAACAGGGACACAGGTTTACAGTAGGAAATATTTCAAATTGAGCCATAAAAAAGGAGTCCAAGGCTAAACAGTTTTATAGTAATGAACACAAATTGAAGATATTGTGGAGAACTTCTTAAAAGACCTGCCCTCTCCACTTAAAAAAAAAAAAATGCACATGCAGGAGCGTGCACAAGCGCATTTCTTCTCTCGCACGCCCAGTTTAAAATGTGCTGTTCTCATAGCTCATACAACCTTAGTGTGTCCCCATCAGTGTTGGGCACGTTACTTTGAAAAAGTAATTAGTTATAGTTACTAGTTGCTTCTCCCAAAAAATAACTGAGCTAGTAACTGAGTTACTCCACAATAAAAGTAACTAGTTAGTAGTAAAAGTAACTATTGCGTTACTTTTGCGAGTGTATGAAATTAATAACTTGGAAGGTCTAATTCTGAAATCCTGTGTTTGGGTTGTTATAGATACTGCAACATGTAGCTTTTAGCCTTTAGCGAGCATGCGCGTTTCCTGTCGCTTGTGTGGTGAATCGTGCCGCCGCCGAGCTGTGCGCAGATGCAGGGGAAACCGTATGTGATGGAGAAACGCAGCTCGACGTAACAGCGCTGTTTTGCCGCTGGAGTCCTCCTCACTCTCCATCCTCCCCTCTCTCATGACGCGCGCACG